GATCTGTAAATGTAAAAACAATAAAGCTTCTATGGGAAAAAAACAAAAATACAAACAAAAGCATTTATGGTGATTAGGGAAACAATTTTTAAGCAAGATAAGAAAATCCATAGCCATAAGGGAAAATTATAAGTGAAATATTAAAACAAAGAACTTATCTCCATTAAAGACACCATTAAAAAAAAAAAAGACACCATTAAGAAAATAAAAGAAAAATCAGCCCTCAGTTTAGGAGAAGATATTCACAATGCAAATATCTAACAAAAGATATACATCCAGAATATATTAAGAATTCCTACTAATTACTAAGAAAAAGACAACTTAATAGAAAGACAGATGAAAGACTTAAAAAGTTATTTTACAAGGAGCACATACAGTCTATAAGTATATAAAGAGGGATGTGCAGTGACTAGAATTCTCTTTTACTTACTTGTATATTGGTACAACCACTTTAGAACACTGTACAGAATAATCTACTAAAGTTGAACATATTCATAAATCATGACATAACACTTGCACTCTTAAATATAGGGCCAACAGAAATTCATACACATGTACACTAAAAATATGCACCCAAAATTCCTAGTAGCACTATTTGTAATAGCCGTAAGAGATTTATAAAAAGGAAAAACTGAACACAATCCAAATGCTGATCAACAACAGAATGGGTAATTAAATTATGTTGGAGCCAAGGATGAGATACTGTATGGCAATGAGAACCAGTAGATTGGTGTATGGGTAACAAAGTGAGTAAATCTCACAAATGAAATTTTGAACAAAATGAACCAGAAAAAAGAGAATTTACTTATGATTTTATTTGTGAGTAGGTCGGGGGTCAGGGAAAGGGAGTGGGAATTAAAGAGTACATTTATCATGATGAAAAAATGAGAAAAAAGAAAAAAGAAACTCATGCTATGAAGACAGAAATTTGAAAACTGATCTTTGGAAATATTATCACTGTGATTTTATTGCCCCAAAACCCAAGATTTTTTAAATAATGAAACATACTAAATTATACTGTTTTCAATAAAATAAACAATAATCTTCCTTTACTGAGAGAAATTAGGACTTTTTTATTGTTAACAAAAAATAAAAAAAAAATTTAAAAAAGTTCAGAAGCAAAATTGGTCTATAGAATTAGGAGTCGGGATGGTGGTTACATTTTGGGAATTAGTAACACAAAGAAGCATGAAGATGGCTTTGGGCTATTCTCCATTTTCTGTTCCCTGATCTGCGTGATGGTTGCTTGTCTGTGTGAAAATTCATTAAGCTATTTACACTTATGAAGTGTGCAATTTTCTATATGTAGGCTATACTTTGATGAAATTTTAATTTAAAAAGTAAGCTTGGAAGGCAGAAACCCCTTTGTTATTCATAATTATAGACCATCAAGAGGATATTCCAGTAAATGTGTTCCATGGGGCAGTGAAAGGAAGCAAACAAGTGAATGGAAAAGCAGAGGGTATATGAATATGGTGAGGGAGAAAGTATCAATATTGAAAATTAATTCAACCTTCCCCTTTCCTCAAATTTCTTTATAGATCTCTACTTTCAATATAATACAAACTATGGGAGAGAGTGAATGGATAGTTATAAATATTATCTAGATTCAATCTAACAACTCTCTGGTTAAACTTCCACCCAACATTGTGTGAAGTTTTATTTTTGAGCTCAAGGAAAAGGCAAAAGATCTCCAGAAATTTCCAGGTAGAAGAGGAACTTTATTTGAACAACATAACTCCTGGTAGCAGATACTAAAAACAGCCAAGATGAGTGACTATTTGCAAAATATTGAGACATATATTTGTATTTTGGGGAAATGTATTTATAGGAATTTCTATCATGACTTCTATTTCAGTCAATAGAGTGATTTTCACAAAATATTTCAATCACCAGATAATTTAGGTCACTATACCTAGTTGGTGTTAATATGCCCTAAAAATATAACAATATTTATCAAAAATTTTTGCAGGAAGAAACCATGGGGAAAATTTTTTAAAAATATTTTTTCTCTTTTCCCAAATTAGGCATTTATCTCTCAAAGGTAATGTAATGTTTATAGAGATTTTGACAGACTAATGAGTAAATACATTTTTATGGTAGGACAAGTACTAGTTTCAAGATAAAAGAGCAAGGCAAGATAATAAAACATTCAAGACAAACATCTCACAGAGGTTCTGATTTTGCCATCTGACTATCAAGAAAAAAAGAGAAAGCACACCAGCTACATGTCAAATAGGCACCCTCCTGACCAAATGGCCTTCAGCATTCCAGTGCAGAATAAATTATTTAAGTCTTTTGAATTTTGCTGTCTATTACAGTAATTACTAAACACAGATTATACCTTGAATTTCGACTTCAAAGCAGTCATTTCAATTTTGTATCTTAGGAAATTCCATAATAGAAAAACCTGGAGGTTTGGGCAAAGAAGACTGGCCTTTTTGCCTTTGCTTTATGGAGAATTGGTTAGTCTTCTTTCTGTAATATTTATGTCCTCAGTAAGAAAGGTACACTCCTAAAAGCCAGGCTATCGGTTTCCTAATAGTGCACAAGAAAAGGAAGGCATAGCTCTTGTCTACTGAATGATAAATCAATGGAAAAGATCTCACAATTACTGAGCATCAGATGCTTAATTCTCACAACAACCCTCTGAGGGCATCATTATTATCCTATTTGACAAATTTAAAAAACGATGCTTAAAGAAGCAAACACTTTGTAAGTTACATCGCCGCTAAATTCCAGATCTTGGAGGAACACGGCCCCGTGACCTACACTATGCTCAGGCCACCTTCCTGTCTTTTAATTTAACAGACTTCTAAACTTACCAGCAAAATAAAGGTAGATCAGTATATTTAAATTTGTGTTTACAAATTTGCCACTCAATTCAAGTGACTTGAGACATTCTCTGAAGGTAGACCTACAACACTGGTGGAGAAAGCCCTGAATTTTGAACTAGTTCACCTGGGTTCTAGATCCATGTCTCTGCTGTGTAGCCTTGAGGAAGTTACCAGTGTCTCTAAATCTGTTTTACACATTTGTAAAATGAGATGATTGGACTCAATGCATGGTTTTGAACTGCTAGATGTTGTTTTATCTGTTACATGGGGTTGGTTCAGAGATCACCATGGGGTAGGATTTCATGGCTGATTGAATTCATAGTCCAGATTCTCCATTTTCCTGGAGCAGTATTATATATACACACTTCTGCAGTGGTCCCATGATGGGTAGGATGTTCCTACCACCTTGATTCTGGGTTTGGCATCGTGAATTGTTTTGACTAATGAGGCATTAGCAGACATGACATGATTGGAGGCTTGAAATGTGCCTGGGGTTAGAGTTTGCCTTCTTAAACTTCATAATCTTTCATAAAAATAGCTTCTCACTGGTATGGCCTGCCCCTTTAATCTTAGACGCACAGGAGACACACAAGAGAATAAACCTGAGTCCAACCAAGACTCCAGAGCCCAGACCAGATGACAGGTTGGACAGCCACCCAAATAAGCCCAAGCTATTTACGTAAATTTTGAGAGAACAAATGCTTGTTGGTGTAACCTGCTGAGACTATAGGGGTGTATGCAGCAAAAACCACCTAAGAAAGAACATTAGGGGAAGACATTGCTGGAGAGGCTCCCTCACTGTTGCCTCGACTCTGTTTATATAGTTGGCAGTCTCCTAACATTTCACTTAAAGAATAAGCCTCCAGTCAAAAATCTGAAAGATGTAAAGTAGGTGGTAACTTACCTCCTTTGGGAAATAAAACTGTGATTCAAAGTCCATTTTTAAAAATAAAAATAATAAAATAACTATTAGAAAATGCAGTATGTAAGACCAACTACTCTAACTCCATAAATGAGCCCATTAGGAAATAAACATGGACCCAAATATTCCCACATAAAAAGGATTGTGATATGGTGGTACTACATTTCAGTATCCATCAATATGTGGCATTTCATCCATATTTTAGTGAACAAAATTGCAGCATAGAAGACAATAAGTAAGCTGGAAATTGATGGTAATTTAAATAATGCATTTTATTTTTGGTTAGCATTATCTTCCTAACTATACATCTTCCTGTCATCTCAGTGGGGTGAAGATTGTTACCATTGTTTTTACTTTTGTGGGGCTTTTGTTGTTGTTTTTTGTTCTATTACTTTGTGCATCAGAAATGCACAGTTGGTCTAAAGGTATTCAGAATCCGGGCCCAGCCATCCTTCACTTGGAAGTTTCAATAGTTTCTTCAATGCCGATGACATCGTATTGTCAGCTGTAAAGAACCAGGACTTAGACTCAGGGGTCAGAGTTTCCATACCTACTTCTGCTACAAAGCTAGTTAGTGACCACAGTCAACTGATTGGATCTCCCCTCTTCTGTGCTTACCCAGAAATAAGGCACCTGGCCCAGAGTACCTCTAATGTGCTTGTCAGCTCTCAGCAATCTTAAGTGTTTGTAACAATGACATTAGAAATGGTATCAGAGTAATAATCAGATTGGTCTAAGACTGATTTGGAAAGTTTGGAAAAGAAGGAACTCTGAAAAAAGTGGAGTTGGCTCTATAGAGAAGGGGTCATGGAAGAAAATGCTCTCTGACCCATACTGAAACCCATATATAGTCATACCATAGCACCACTGTGGAAAGCTATAGTAAACCAAGGCCACACTCTCAAAGGTAACAACTGCCTGCCTTAATCCCAGGTAGATGGGGCTCCTTGGGCAAGTCTGGCCATTAATCACTCACAGTATGCCATGCATCATATGACAGAGGTAGAGAACATAGCTTGTAGTGAGCTTGCATGGTTTTTAAAAATATGAGTCTAAAAAATTTAAATAAAAATATTAATTTATTGCTAATATGGAAAAGCTAATTATCTCCCCCCCAAAAAAAAATTAGATTTCTGGTTTTTATGAAAAACTGGAAGATTTGGCAACTCCTGAGTCTGTATTCCAATGCAGCAATAAGTGGCCAGAGGTAAGAAGGACCTGCCTCCTCCTTTTTTTTTTTTTTTTTTTTTTTTGACAGGAAGCAGGATTTATTGGTGGGCATGAATAGGGTTTGGGTGGTGCAAGGTTCTCATGAGTGGAGAGCCCTCCATTTGTCCAAGGGGCCACTATTAGGGATGTATTTGACCCCACAGCCATCTGGGATGAGCCGCTTTTCGGCCACCATATCTTCAAATTCGTCCGCATTAAACTTAGTAAAGCCCCACTTCTTGGAGATGTGGATCTTCTGGTGGCCAGGGAACTTGAACTTGGCCCTGCGTAGGGCCTCAATCACATGTTCCTTGTTCTGCAGCTTGGTACGGATAGACATGATGACTTGGCCAATGTGGACCCTGGCTACTGTGCCCTGTGGACCCTGGCTACTGTGCCCTGGGGCTTGTCAAGAGTCCTGTGGCTCTTGATTATCGACAACTTTGCGGCTTTCTTCTACTCATTCTGGCCACCTGCTTGGCCCCTGTCCATGAACTCTGAGAGACCCTAGGGAAAGACAAGGATTTTGGCCTGCAGGCTTCCAAATACCACACTTTAAAGCAAAACAAATGAAGCATGAATTGTTTTGGGCTTAAGTGTTTTAGTTCACCAGAGAAGGCTACCTATATTGCATAAGAAATACTGATTTTTTTTTAAAAGAAAGTTACACTGATAAATACTGAATAACCCAATTTAAAAACACAAAGGTACATTTCTCAAATCTAAAAAGATTTTTAGCAAACTAAATTGACTTATTTTACTTTTTGCCTACGTTTGTATTGTCATTAGCATATAGAAACCTGCTTCCCTCAAAGGCCACTTCAGTGTAATACTAATAATGGGAATTTTCTGACTTGTCTGAGCAGTGGTCAAGAATAACTTTTGGTGTCCCACTCAGCTCTATGCCTGTCTTTATCAATAGAAATTATGGAGAAATATGACTTCCAGCAAGGAGAAGTTGATTCCAGCTGTTTAAACTTTTATTTTCCCCTCTAATACTAGTAGCAGTTCTCAAATTTTAGCTGTGTCAGAATCACCCGGAGGGTTTGTTCAAGCACAGATTGCTGGAGCCCATCCTTAGACCTTCTGATTCAGCAGGTCTGGGGTGGAGATTGGGAATTTGCATTCCTAACAAGTTCCTTGGTGATGCTGATGCCCTTGGTCCTAGAAGGATGCTTCCAGCAACCCAGAAATAGCATGACTGTAGGCAGGTAACTACCTATCTGGCTTCTACCTATCTGGCTTCGGCTTTTCCATTTATAAAACAAGGGTAAGATTTAATCCCCTCTGAGGGTTGGTTTTGTTTTGTTTTGTTTTCCTTATCAAAGAATAGTATAGAATTATTTTAAAACCAGTTTTCTTTCCTTGCAACATAACCTTATGCAATTGTGTTTTCTTTCTTTCTGGACATGCAATGAGTTGAACACTAATCTGAGCAATGGCAAAAAGGATCTATACTGAGAAAACTATATTGTTTTCTCAGCATTTCTATAGCACTCCTCTCGAGAAAAAACATTCTCATTTTCTTTCCAGCTATGCTTCTTTAGAAAGTAGAAGAGGATGGGAAAGTTCTAAATCTACATACATTAAAAAAGGTTGAGAATAATTATTGCTGAGAATAATAATTTTATCTTAGGTCTTAATTTATGAGTCAAAAGATAAATCATATGATTTAAAAAAGATAGAGAAGCATCCACTGTCTTTTAGCTATTGAATGTCATTGTGTTTTTAGCATAAGGATTCCATATTTTCAGATGGTTCTGAATGAGCTTTGGTGATTGATTATTTACCATAATCTTTCTTGTGCTAATGAGGCACTGAGACCATTTCTGAGATGTCAATACAATTTGATCCTGTCAAAATAAATTTCATTTGACTCTTATTCACCTTCAGAGTCACCAGAAACTGATCTGTTATTTAGTAGGGGTTGGCCTTCCTCAGAAATAATTTCCTAATAACCATAAATATAAGCTAGGGATCTAAATCCAAATGCCATTTCTTATTGATAAGAACACTACCAACACTATAAGGCAGTTCCTTTTTTGTAGCTATTTGCTCTCTGAAGAGATCTTTTTATTCCCCTTCGTATTTTCTTTTGTGGGAAAAAGAAAACATAGATATGTATAGGTATATAAGTGTGCAGATATACATATGTACATATATATAGTCCGAATCACTGAATAATTGATTATGTATAAATACATACACATACTTTTATTGGGATACAACATAATTTATTGCAGTAATCTTAAGTATATAGCTTGATGACTTTTTCCACATGTAAACACTCAAGTGGTCACCAAGCTACAGAGCATTTCCACAACCTGAGGCCTAAGCCATTATCCAAGTCAATGTCTGCAACCCCGACCCCCAACCCAGGTGTCATTAGCCTCACTTCTATCATTATTAATTAGTTTTCTCTGTTCTTTACAAAGAGTAAATATATACTCTTTTGTGTCTGGTTTCTTTCTCATGCACTAATGTCTATTAGACTGATCCATACTGTTGCATATATCCAGAGTTCATTCCTTTATATTACCACAAAGTATGAATATACCACAATTTCTCTTTTCATTCTTATATCAATGGGCATTGGGCTTGTTTCCAGCATACTGCAGATTGTGCTGCTACAAATATTTCTGTACTTGTCATTCAAGCACCTTTAAGGTTCTCTGTTATCCATCTGAGAGAACCCTGGTAAAATAGTTTGTTCGATGGTCCAGTATTTCCTAGTTTTTATCATCCTGCATGTGGCTCAGACATGATGTTCGTTTGCACCCATATATATAACCAAGGCTGGGGGGAGGGATTTGAAAAGAGAGTGGGGTTCAACTATAAGAATACCACCAAAATGTCCCTATTTAACCCTCACCAAAATACTCAAGACTGGGACTATCTGGAACAGTTTTATGATCTGACAATCTGAGAGCCACAAGAGACATCAAGAGGCGAAGCCAAGCTGGGCATCTTTGGAAAGGTATGATGTTATATTTACAATTAAGATCCAGAGAGGTTTAGAGACTTTTTCAAAGTTACACAGCTTTGTAGTGATCTTAAAGCCTAGTAGAGTTGAGATCACAGGTCAAGTTTTTGTGTTGTTCAAATTGCACTGTACCAGGGTGCCTGGCCAAAGGCATCCTCAAAGGAGTGAGGATGAGAGTCCATCAGTTATTGCAAGTAAAACACTAACTGGGAAATCCACGCAATTCATTTTTGCAGACTGCTTGATCACTCTGGTGGATGTAATTAGTTACTCTTGGGTGCTGTCCTGGTGAGAGGACCTTGGCCAGTCTTAATCATTGATGGTGGCAACAGAGCCATGTCAAGGATAAAGCAACCTGAGGTATAGTCCTAGATGCTGAGAGGAGCAGTCAGCTCCCTTCAATGTCAGACTTATCCCTTCTTTTCCAGCCTGCATGGTCAATCAGAAAGTAGTCTTTTGGAAGAGAGAGGGCAGCTAAACTAGCTGGTGTTTAAAAGGGCCCATGACTCATATGTTTATATAATCAGCCCATTCCAGCCCTACCACTCCCAATTAAAGCCAATCCCTCCTTCCAGGCACTCTCTCAGGCTGCCTATTATCCTTATGTGAGTGATTTTCCCCTTCCAGTCTGTCCTTGATACTCATTTTCACTAGCATAAACAGACTGACGATGGGTGAGAAAGCAGGGATAGAATATGATTTACTTCTTCCACCTGTCATGATGCACTTACGGAGGCTGAGTAGGAATTAGGAAGGGCTGTTGTTGGGTCTGATTGGGAACAATAATTCAGTATTTATTCAGTTAATCCCTCTTGTCTTCCTGTTGATAGATTCTCATGCCAGGTTCCACAATAGAGACTAGAAATAAACCAAGTCAGATAGAAAATAGAAGGACTAGCAGAAATGAACTCAGCTCATTGCAATTCTGTAATTAAGTCACAAATCCCTCCTCTCAATTTTAACCAAATAAATTCAGCAAATGTTTACTGGACACCTATTAGGTTCCATGGATACAAAAATAAGCCACAGTCCCTGTCATCAAGAAAGTTTCTATTTAGAAGGATAATTGGGACAAATGCAGGTTTAGTTTCTTTGTTCATTCATTTAATAATAGATGCTGAGCTCCTGCACTCTTCCAAACACTGTGCTAGGTTCTGCCTGCATATATGAATAATGTTGGCCTCATGGTCCAGAATTGCAATAAGATAAAGCAGAACAATAGAATCACAGCAGTAGCAAAAACATATTTTACCAATATTAGCCCTATTCTGTGTTGGACACTGGGGATATGATGATAAAAAAATACACACAAGAATGAAAGTTCTTATGTTTTCCTGGGGAGAGAAAACAAATAAGCAAGAATATTATAGATTTTGATAAATACTGTAAAAGATAGCACTAATAAATATTAATAATGAATACATGAAAAGTAACCATCAAAAACAACCACCAGTAAACTGCTATATGCTTAACTGTGTGCCTTTAACATCTATTTATTTAGTCTTGAAAATAAACCTCATGAGCTAGTTATTATACCAAATTTGCAGAAGACAAAAATGAGATTCAGAGAGATGAAGAGTTTTCCCCAGGTCACACAGTAGTGCAACAGCAGAGACAGAAATTTGAACACAGCTCCCTCTGCCTCCAGAGTCGGCCTCTTAACTTCAACATTATGAAAGTACTTTGACAATTCAGTGGAGAGAATGGGAATGGGGCTGAGGGGGAAGAAACATCACACTTGGTCAGAAGTAGGATTAGAAAATGTTTCCTAGAGGAGCTTGCCGACTTCAGGCTTTGTCTATATATAAAAAAAGACAACTACATTAGTGGCCTTTAACAGTTATCTATAGTCCATTCAGCCTATGGCAAGATTAATTCCTTGCAAATCCTTATCTCCTTATTTACCTGAATCATCGAGAATGCAACCAACCACCAGAGAAGGAACACTGAGGCATGGTGGGGCCATTTCTGCCAAATGTAGTCCTTCCCCATAAAAAATTTAAACTATCAAAGCTTATTAAAGTTTAGGCATAGAAAAACAAGTCCAAGTGAGTGATGCAGGTGGGAAAGGAACGCACAGCCTGTGATGCAGGCAAAAAGGAAGGAGATGGAAATTCACAGAGAGAGGTGGCACTCTCAGGACAATTACACAAGACTGGATAGTACTGAGGATTTTTCTAGGTGGCCAGGGCTGAGAGGACTTTTCCAGTGGTGTGGAGAGACTGATGGAGCTGTAGTGTGGTGCAGGCACAAGACTGGGAGCGATTTGGTTTCGCTGAAATTGAAGATGCAGGAAAAAGATTGGAGAGAAATATGAAGAGGTCAGATTCTGGAAGCCCTTGGATGGCATGTTAAGGAGTTCAGATTTAATCCTTTTAAGCAGAGAGTAAGGCAATCACGTTTGCATTTTAAATAGCAAAACTTGAGAGGAGTCAGACAGGAAGGAAAGGTGAGCAACAAGGAGTTAAGGACCAGTTTGGGGATTGGGTACAAATTTGTATATTTTCTCAGGTTTCTTGCTGCTTCCTGCCTTTGAGAAGCTCACCTCAACTTCTCCTTCTGCCTATATGAATTCTTCATTAAAACAACATTTTAGGGACACCTGGGTTGTTCAGTATGTTAAGCATCTCCCTTTGGCTCAGGTTGTGAGTCTGGGCTCCTAGAAATGAGCCCCACATCAGGCTCCCTCCTCAGCAGGAAGTCTGTTTCTCCCTCTGTGCTCTCTCTCTCTCTCTCTCAAATAATTAAATAAAATCTTTAAAAAATAAAACATTTATAAACATTTAATTATATGAGTAATTTAAGTACACATATAGCTAAGGTTGACATCCTGTTCAAACATATACCCAATCCTAAGTGTCTGCTTGAAAGGATCCACTGCCAGCAATGTTGTATCTTCTCCTATTTTTTTGTATGTATTTTCATGTGTATGCATATTGGCTTATGTGGTATCACAACTGGTATCATATTGTACATGGCTTTGTTTATTTAACATTTTGTTGTGGGTATTTTTCCATTTTTTTCCGAGTGACCTGATTATTTTTCATACCCGCATAAGATTCTGTAGCATGGCTACATGTCAGCTTATTCCCTTAGGTTGTTCTAGCTTGCACTGTTAAATCCACTGCTGCAGCTAATATCCTCAGACTTTGCCTTCTCGTGTGCATGTGAGTATTTGCCAGGGTAGCATCCAAGAAGAGTTTTTGCTGGTAGGAAAATTGTGCTCATATATAATTTAATAGGTTTTGCCAAATTACTTGTCTAAATGGCTATACCAATTTACGCTCCCACCCACAGTGTGAAGTGCCATTTCCAGTTCTATTAATTGCTGCCCCGCCTCTGTGAATCAGTCCTCTCCCCACCCCTAGTCTGCAAAAAGCCCACCCATCGCTTTGAACTATTACAATACTTTTTTTCATTACTACTCATCTGACAACTAATGAATCCTGTCTTGTGTTCTACTTATTTTATAGGTTCTTGTCTTCTCTTCCCTAATAGACTGCAAATGTATCTAGAACATGAGCCTGATTCATGTTTCCATCTTCAAGTGTCTGCGTTACCAGAAATAGAACCAAGCCAGTAGTTATGGGGTATCATTGTAAAGACAGAAATTCATCTGGCTTCTTGAATTGTAGGAAACTTAGAACTCAAAATGCCTGCTGGCATCACGAGAGTTGACAAAGCATTATTGCTATCACACTTCAAGGAAACAAGGATTCATCACACTTTAAATGGAACAAACCCTTCTCCACTTTGCCACTAGGATTTTAGTTTATTACTCTTGCCAGTCACACCTCTTCCTTTTCCTAATTCTGCCAATGGGGTGATAAATACTAGGACAATATGCGTTTCTTAATGACTGAGTAAATACGCAATAAACAGGCCCCCTGCCCATGGCTTGTGGGTGTGCTATAGAATGCACTGCTGGAGTGTTAAAGTTACATTTGTAGAGCTAAAATGAAGCTTTCCTCTCTCCTACCCTCCTTGGCCCATTGGGTAAAATGTGGCCCAATGAATGCACCAAGTTTATCAATCACTTTAGCAGTTCCACCTACTGTGAGAAGTAGTTAATAATGAAGTAGAGATTCTCTGTCACCCCAGGGTGGTAAAGGGTGATAGCATCTTCAGAATTGTAACACCATCTTCCCAGATCAGGGACCTGCTCTCCTCATTGTCAAAATGCCAGTGAATAGTATCAAGATAGAAATATTACCCGTTGAAACCAAGGGATTCATTAGGAGAAAGATTGATGCAATATTCATCTCAGAGGAAAACATTTGCATCCAGTTTATATAGATCACATATACTTTTTTCCACTGGTATAGCTACCTGTATGGTGGCTGAAGTTGAGGGTAGGTGAGGAAGGAGAGAACATCTGATGTCTGTATTCTGAAATCATATAACTTCTATGACACACAAAATATGATGCAACTTCAGTAATTTCTGACCATCTTATACTTGTTAGAACCAAGGTCAGTAATCCTTTTTAATGATTCCAGTACGCTTCATTTTTACATGCCAAGGGACCACTATACATTCTGATTAGGCATTCTAAAATACTATATGCAAAAAAGAATATGAAGAATTAACAAGGATAACCTTTAAAATGATCTAGGTAGATGCACAGGAATAAAGGAAAGAAAGAAACAAAGTCTTAATTCTGAAGCCTAGATATGTAGTCTATTCTGTTTCAAGGAAACAGTAAATGTCTGACAGTTAATTAGAGATATAAGTCCTATTTTCCCATTTGCCTACCTACTTTGTTCAATTCTGTTTTTATATTAAGTTTCCTTAAGTTGAAGGTTTATTAATAATATTCTTTGAATAATGGGAATGATGGTGAGCATCAGGGATTATAGTTGAGTTGGACTATATATATATAGTGTTATATATAGTGATCCCAGTCTTCCTCTCCTTCATCCTTGAAACATCATTCATGCAGCCCCAGGAAGCCAGTCCTGAGAGCCAACTATGCACTGCAGTGTCCCTATGGCTTGATGGCAAACATGGCACTTAATAATTCATATCCTCCCATAGAGCAGATCCATGCATCAAAGTTATATATGTCCTTCACAGCAAATATGGAGACAATCAACAATTTCTACTCTATTTAAAATGATCAAAACTAGAAAAGAAAACTATAAAGGAAATGGAGAATGTCATCAGAACCATTTATCAGAGGGCCTTCCAACTATGAGCCAGAATAAAAATTCTATCTTATAGGATAAAAGCGGAAAGAATGCAGAACAAATGGATAAGTTGACAGAGTCATCATGCTTCTTTGTTCTTTTGATTAGGCTGCTTACCTCAATACTATTTATGAATTCCTCTTGTGAACCTCTAATAATAACTGTATATGTCTGTTGATTAATTATTGAATTTCCTATGATATTCACTTTTTCATCATGCAAGAACTCTACATGTTTCTTTGGGGAGTAACCATGATCAGGTCTAATTGCCATAATCCAAACCTCGGAAGGTACATTTTGTCTAGTGTGCTCACTGCTACTAGTTATTAACAGATTAGCAGTTATCAACAATTGTTAACATTTATTCTCACTTCTTATAATAGCCATCCATTGAGAGCCATAATTTTACACAGACTGACATTTCTTGGCATCTTTCCACTAAAGGGTTGACCTAAGGGATAAAATGAGAAACTAAATTTCTTATCTTAGGAAAGTTTTTTGGAATATCACATTCAATAAATAAATAAATAAATAAATAAATAAATAAATAAATAAATAAATAAATAAATAAATGAAATTCACATTCAAATTAAGAGCAGGAAACTTCATGTAAATATTTTCCAACGTTGCATTCACTATAGTGGCTTGAACATGTAAAATAATGAGAACAATACTAGGATCTAGCACAGTATTTAGTACATGGGAAGTAGTCTGAGAACTGATCTAAGATCCTATATCCCTCTGCTCTGATATTTATCCCATCCAAAATTTCATTTCCCTCATCCCTTCTCCAAAGACCATTGAAGAGAATATTGAAGACACCTTCCTCTAAAGGCTGAAGGCTTCTATAGTCTCCAATTGCTGTGCATTTTACTTGCACTGTGAGTACAATAGACTCTAGTCAACATTACAATTAACTATAAACATCCCCGACCACCCCCCCATTAAAGTATTAGTGCTGTGAGTTCAGAGGCAGTGTCATTTCTCTTTGCATCCAACATGTAGCAGAACACATGCACACAACTGGTGAGTGAATCTTTCCATTTACTGAAGAGTCTTCTGAATACAGTGTTTCCTCAGATATGAAAAAACAGATTTGTTGGCCAATATTTGTTTTTTTTAAATTAAAGCCCTGTCCCTTACCATCATTTGAATATTATACTTGAGTACAGCGGTAATAGCCTGAGTAATTATGTCCCTTTATTTCTGTCCTTGGATTTAGGACTTTGGAACATAGCATCCCAGTTTATATCAATTTTCATGGAACATTTGCAAAGATCTCCTTTGTCATACTAGGTAGGGAAAAGCTGGGTGCTCTAGTTATCTGTCTGCTATCTGATAAATGAGCCTACTCAACCAGCTCGGAATAGTGGGAAAAAAACAGCTAGAGGCCAGCCCCTTGAAGATTTTTGCAGGGTAAGGACAAAAACAATAGGTGCAGACTTATAGTAGACCTACTAGCCTTTCTCCTCCAGCCTGCCGTGGAGATTTAAACACCTTGAGTCCAGGACCATCCTGCGGTTCAGAATGCCTAGTCTCAAAACACAAAGTTAACTCTCTGAAGTTTTCCCCATGAGCTTCTGAAAATGAGCACGGAACATCTGCTCTTTGATACTTAACAGGATTTCAGGCCAGAAGGAACAAAACATGATGCTTCTGACTGAAGAAAAAAAAAAAAAAGGCAACAATTAGTGTAACTTCTATTTTTCCATCACAATAGTGATGGCTAAGAAACCAGTTATAAAAGAAGAGAAAGAGTTCTCGGAGACCAGGCCAA